CTCTTCTTCAGGATCTTCGTCCGACTCCTCGCGCACGTCTTCCTTGTGAATAGTGGCGGTCTCAGGAGCGTTTCTCTTGGGCCGCATGTTCTTGACCGCCCCGCCGGCAGCTTCTTCAGCCGAAACCTCTCGCAGAGCATCTTGGAAGGAAACATCTTCCCTGGTGAACAGTCTCTGCTGCAATTCTGTGTTTCTCAGCACGCATACAAAACGATCGCGAAGTCTTTCTTCTAAGTCCTTGAAGTCACACGGTTTAGCTGCTCTTTTCAAGGCCGCAACATAGTCTTTTGCTGATTCTCCGACTCGCTGATCTCTCTGTTGAAATGTGTGCCTCCAAGCCATGACTGATTGCTTGGGCTGGAAGTGTTCCTTTAAGGTTTTCTTGAGGTCGGAGTACGATACCGTTTCCAGCGAATCTGGGGAGATTAAACTCTCGGCGATCTCAAAGGCGTCTTGCCCACAAACGCACAACAATGTGGCAGCCTTTAAGCCTTCCTCTCGAATTTGGTTGATGCGAAAATACGTCTCGACTCTTGCCACGTAAGATTCCCACCTCTCGGGGTGAGAGACGTCGAATTCTTCTAAATGCCCAACTTTAGCCATGATCAATGGTAAAGTTTCTTCTTCTTCAGTCGCACGCACCCTCCAGCGATTTCGTACTGGCAAGATAACGCTGACTTCCATGCCGTTTCTTTCCCGGACTTCTTTGGGTGAGTCTTCTAGCTTTTCTTAGCTGTAGAGACTGAATCCCACCTTCGTCGCCAGTGTTAAGTCCTGGGAATAATGGCGCTTGAGACGATTCATCTTCAACAAGTCTTTATTGTTTGCTCCACTCTACGAACAACCAGAGCAGAGGCACGCAGGCCTCTATTTATACTCTCTGATCCCCGGGCAAGTTCAACCAATCATGAGGCGGGCTTTTCCTGCCTTGCGCATGCGCACAAGGCTGGCGCCGCTCAGTCTGGTCCCGGGCAGCATCTGCAAATGCCCGGGACTCTTGCAACGTCCCGAGCCTGCATCTTGCAGGCTCAGGACACAACACTGATACTGTGAGATGATTTAAGTATTTAACAGGCCTGATGCTCTAAAGATAAGTTTATAAAATGGCATCTTGTGGAAGGTCAATGCAAGTGCTTAACCTGTTATCTTGGTGCTAACTGATCAAAACTCATTTATAATAGAATTTCTTGAAAGAAATTGTAATAATGCAGCATTTGCTCTCTTTTCCATTTAATGCTAATGGAACTAGAGAATTTTCATCCTCTTATACGAATTGGGTATAGGGTATGTTGGGTTTTGATAAAGTGTAAAGAGAAAAAGAGTTGACGGGTAAAGGGAGTCTACGTTAATAAATATTACTAACGTCTCTATTTCTTAACTGGAACTTTACTACTATGGGTTAAAGACACGAGAAATGTCATATATTAAGTCTCTACGGGTGACAGACGAAGGGCAGGGCTTGAAAAAAACTTTTTCACAGATTGTACCACTTTTAGGACATGACAATATTTGAGTAGTACCAGTGCTTAGCAAGGTGTCAAAAACTTGATGATTAAAAAAAGGGGGGGATTTTGGGTTTTACTGATTAGATTCATTTGTTGTTATAGAAATGGCTAGTTTATAATATTATGGAAAAGTAAAAAATTGAGGTTCAATGTTAATGCTTCCTTCTACTGCAACAGAGGAAGTCTGGTTTTTTTCCCTTCTCACCCTTCACTTTTCCCCCCTTTTTCCTCCCCACTGTATTCTACTATTTGCTTTTTTATTTTTGTATTTTTGTGGGGAATGGTGGTGTTATTTTACTAGGATTATATGCTACTCCAATCACTGCTAATTCTGAGCACCTTAAATAACCCCTATCTGTAAGCAGGATTAAAGCAACATAAATAATCAGCATTTACAATAAAAATTCTGATTGTTTCAATAACAGTAGCATATTCACACCAACATCTCCATTTAACTCAGTTAAATCTGCACTGCCACTGTAAAAGAGACTATGTAGTCTTGTACTATTTAAGCCAAACTGGGTCTGGGCTGGTAGAACTGCATCATTTACATAATGGAATATTGCAGTGGAACATCGGTTTGAAGGGAGGGTTTCCATTATTTCAATGTTGTGAGGAGTGGTCACATCCTCGCAGATGTCAGCTCCAAGTAACCAAGAGGGTATATGACATATATGAAATGTGGATTTTCACACATTTTAAAATTTTCCAATTTCCTGCTATTTAAATAAAGTTTAACAAGCTTATAATTTAATAAGTAAAATAAATTACTAAAAATTAAATATTTATAACACGTTTTTAGGATTTTCTTTTTTTTTAATGTATATATTTTAAGTAGACTTAGTAGGGAGTGTGTGAAGTAACTAATGCTGTCCCATGTATTTACATGAATTGAACACTTCTAAGAGATTACTTGGTTTCTGAAACATTCTTTTTAGGGACTTCCAGGACCCCCAGGACTGCCAGGACCCATTGTAAGTATTTGAGGACTCACCTTAGATTTGTAGACTCTGATGTTTTCTGAGGTGATTCAAAATGTCTAAAATGTTTTTGTTGTTGTTGTTTGAAAGAGGAACATGAGATATTGTAATACTGTAAATTGTTGGGACACAGTCAGTGGTGGAATTCAAATATGTGAACAACAGGTTCTCTGTGGATGCTGCTTCCAGAAGTCCATTCTGGGCCTGGGCAACAAAAAAAATAGCTACCGGTTCTGCCAAAGTGGTGCGAACTGGCTGAATCCCACCACTGGACACAGTGGAATAAACATTTACATGAAATCAGTTTGAGCATTTTTTTTTTCAAGTTTTAGTGCTGGTTCCTACGAAGTTCTTTAATAATGCTTTAATAATGCTTTAATAATGCTTTTCCTCTGAAAATAGAATCTCTGGGTCTGGTTCAGATAAACAGGCAGAAGTGTAAATGAAGAAAAGTCATTATTCCCATTCATTCCTGTACTGTCATCAAATTGCATTTGCCCTATAGTTACAAGAACTGAGGCAGTCATGCATTTCTTCACTGACTTTATATAGCTACAAACTATTCATTTGGCTGAAAGACTATCCATAGGAGCACAAACTGGTATGCACAAATTTATCATCAACAGGAAGGTATTTGTAGCCTACATAGGAGCTTTGAATTTATAGGAAGAAATCAAGCTGAAAGCATTATGGTTGGTGACACAGCCAGATGTTTAGATGGTATTTGGCATTTTTATCCATATATCAAATCCTTCCCAAGCACCTGGGATAATCAGACATTGTTGTCTGATGGTGTTAAAGTATTATAATTAGTATTACTGATACATTGAATATTTCATTGTTATTAATTTTTTGAAAAGGAATTTAACATATGTTATTATGGGAAACATTAAATCTGAAGAATATGATCTAAGTAATAATTGACTTAAGTGTCTAAGAGAATTATTTTATTTGATGTAAAACAGTATTAAAGTCCTGATATTACAGAGGAACATGTAGTTTCTGGTATGCCATTTGGTAAAGTATGTAAGCATAAGTTAAATGTTCATTAACTGTCATTTCAGGGCAATAGAGGCCTTGGCTTTTATGGAAAGAAAGGTGAAAAGGTAAAACGGTCTTAATCAATTTGCATTTACTATGGTGGACATAACTTTGTGTAATCTGTGCAAATTGTTTTTGAGGTCAGATTACAGTACTAGAAATGCAGTCTTTTTAAAATCCCTATGTTCTTCAATCCATCCATTGTATCTTCAGATTCTTCAGGTTCCCATGTTCTTCACTTTCACAGAGTTCAAAGAATATACATCCAATGTTGTTTAAATTTTCATTTTACCTCTTATACTTATCTTTGTGGCTTTTCTGAAGGGTGAAATTGGACCTCCTGGTCCACCTGGGCTTCCATCAACAAAAGAATTAACCAGTTCAATAGATGAAATTCTAAGTGAACACAAGGTAATTGAAATATTATTCAAAATTATAGAATATTCATTCCTTTGAAAAATAGAATTGCTCTATCTAGCCTTCCCCACTATAGGTCTTGTCTCTCTTTTGCTATATTGGATTACTGCAGTCTTTTCTGTATCCTCACCTTTTACCATCATTTTGCTACCTTTTTTACCCTCAAGCTGTGCCAATAATATTTTCTTTTCTTTTTCTCTGGGGGTCAATAGCAACTTAAAGAGAGAGGCCTTGTCTTCCATCTGTACCCACTTTCATATTCACAATAACATCTTAAGCCCATGTGGAAATAAATATGAATATCTGAGAAGCTGGTGATCAGTGTTTCTGTGTGAATCATTTCTGAAATTACAGATAACTTAAATACAAAAATAAACAGTCATAGAAGTCTGTATGGCACATTGCAGATATTGCAACTATAAGCAGCCACAGCAAATTTGAGTTGTCTTAAATTATCAATGAGTCATTTGATATAATGACTCAAATTCTGCCTTTATTGGCTTGTATTCCAATATTTGACAGTAAGATATAAGTCATAGTCATAAGTAAGATATAAGACAGTAAAAGGTTTTTTTACATTTTTGCACATTTTTAGCCCTTATAGGAGCTTTTGCCCATCCTTCTCCCCCCAACCATGGATAACTTTGCACTGAACCCCCCCCCCAATGTCTTTTCAGTCTATGGCAACATTGGGAGATAACAGTACAGGTAGTCCTCGACTTAACAACAGTTTGTTTAATGACCATTCAAAATTACAATGGCTGTGAAAAAAGTGACTTATGAGTATTTTTTGCACTTGTGGTCTCCCCATGGTCATGTGATCAAATTTTGGACACTTGACAACTGACTCATATTTTTGACGGTTGCAGTGTGCTGGGGGTCATGTGATCCCCTTTTGCAACCTCCTGACAAACAAAGACAATGGGGAAGCCAGATTCACTTAACAAATGTGTTACTAATTTAACAACTGCAGTGACTCATTTAACAACTGTGGCAAGAAAAGTAGCAAAATGGAGCAAAACCCATTTAACAAATGTCTCATTTAGCAACAGAAATTTTGTGCTCAATTGTGGTCGCAAGTCGAGGACTACCTATATAACCCCTACAGGAGAACTTAAGGCTCACCTTCTTGAATCAGATCAGTGAAACAGTGTTATGGCCCAGTGATGCTGCTGATTCCTTCCTATATTGCAACCTTGGTGAATTTTAAATCATCTCCACATCTCACAGAATCTAACTTAAATGTTTGTAGGTTCCTCCCAAATTTCTTCTTTTGACTTGCTGTTTTATTAATAGCTATTGTTTTTTTCCTAATCACCTTCTTGTTCTTCTTTGTTTTCCATATAAATTCTGAGTTTACAGTTGCCCTAAGATAGATTTAATGCCTTTTTTACTCCCAATTCATCACTCAGAACTGAAAATGCAGATTTTTGAGTTCTTGAGAACAATCCATCACATCTATGTGCATTCATTCAGATATACATTGTGTTTCGGTACGAATAGCTCAACATTCTAGGAAACAGTGCATACGAGTGATTTATTTTAGATGAGGTAGACATCTACCTTTGCTGTTTGTGTCAATTCTAAATAAGAAAAATGGCTAGGATATTGTCAGTATTGTTTGTTGAGCCTCACTCAAGGGGGCAAGGGTTTGAAATGTTAGTTTCCAATGGACTATCATCAGCCTAGTCTAACTTAATGATGTTAAGTTGTATTCTTCATCTGGTAGAGCTTCAAATGTAACCTAATTCTTCCTTCCTTTAGCTATTTTCTGTTCCTTTGTTAATATATCATTGCCAACTGGGTTATTTTTCCTGCAAATTTCTGTCAGTAGATATCTAGGGTCAGCCAACCCTAGATTTGTTGATTTTCCTGGGCATCTCTGAGTTTGGACTGCATTTTCACTTAAATCATGCTAGCTACAAAAAAACAAAATCAAAAAAGCAAACACCAGCACTTTAACAAACAGTGCAGTGTTAACTCCTACCAATCATAGGCCATCATATTAATTTTTACTAGGAAAGGTCATACCACTCAAGACTAAAGTTGATTTAAATGTCATAGGAATAAATAAATCAACCATCTCTATGGGGCAAAAAAATCCAAGAACTTTTTTTAAAATTTAACATAAATTTAGAAAAAAAGTTATTTAATTAAAATAAATAAAATATTCAGTTAAACCTTGCTGTTATTCAAGTGTTGGCCTTACTCTACAGGAAATTTACCTGTATCTCAAGTTGGAAACATACTCCTGTGAAAACTGCCCCTTAGAATGACTTTATATCATGTGATGAAACAGATCCCTATGTCGTACAGGTGAAACATTCTTATGGTTTCAAAGGAACATTTTGAATGATGTTATTTTATTTCTAAGTATGGTAATTTTTGCCTTTCATTTTGTGCTTACCTCTTAGGGTGTGATTCTTCTGTCACAACATGGATAGAAAGTAAAATGTATGGGAAGTAATTTTTTACTCACAAGAGACTATATTTGCAAATAAAGTATTATGTCAGTTTAAGAGCTGGGTTCTATTTTAGAGAAAATAGAATTCAAGCTAAGCCTGTCATTCCCTCAAGTTTCTTTTTTTCAGCCCTTCTGATGAATTTTGATTTATCACCAAAAATTGTCATACAGATAATTGAAATGGAAGTATTCTACCTGCTCTAAATTTAGCAGAGAATAAGAGATATATACCTACTTATTTAATATTATTGTTGTTTTATATTATTAGGGTATGAAAGGAGAAAAAGGAATGATGGGAGAACCTGGATTTCCAGTAAGTCCACAAGAACCACAGTTATTTCTGTGATGAGAAACACCTGCACTATTTCTGTAGAAAAGAATAATATATGGATTCATTATTATTTCAGTAATAATAGTTCTTGGGTGATAATATGATAATGTAATATTTTAGCTATAACATTAAAACTAGTCATTTGAATTCAATATTTTTCTTTCAGAATTTAACATATTTAACAAACATTTAACCATATTAAATGTTTTATTTCAAAATTTAGACTATTTATAATTCATAACCTATATAACTCTCTTTTTTATTATTTGCCAGTAAAAACTCCCATTCCATGATTTTTTTTAGCATATTTAAAGATGCATACCATCTGTACAGAAATCAGTCTTCCCAAATAAAGCATACTGGATGCAAACTTTTTGAAATTGGAGAGCATGTCCTGGATGGTGCTACAAAATGGCTTTATGGAAGAGATAATAGACAAAAAACACAGATGCACAGATTTCGATAATTACTACCGGTAGTTGGTAGTAAAGTAATACAGATAATCATCACCCTCTAGTGGTCATATGAATTTGTGCAGGCCCAAACTGTTCATCTACTTACAAGCAAATAAATTGGGTGAGGTTGCTGTCTGGTACTTGTTCTAGACCTCTACCTTTTCAGGATATGTGAGCAGATTTTTAAACACATCACCATTATTTTTACCACATTATTTTCTTTGCACACTTCAGTGAGGTTCAGCAGCAATTTTATAAATACTGATTGTGGTAGGGAACTGGTGTTTTCTTAATAGAATGACAAATTCATATTTAATGGATCATACTGTAAAATTGGAAGGAACCGTAGATCAATACAGCCTGCTTAGTACAGGATCCACTGGAGTATCGTTCACAGATGGTCATCCAGTCTCTGTCTGAAGGCAGGCTACTGAGTTTGAAATAAAACAGCCTGTTCCACTTCAGGCAGGAAGTTCTCCTGGATGTCTAGCCTGAAATTCTTTCCTTATAATTTTAACCCATTCATTCTAACTCTTCCCTCTGGGGTAACAGGGAATATGTCCACTCACAGTGTGGGACAACCTCTCAGATTTACTTAAGGGAGATAATGGCAGGTGATGGGAGTGATGTCCATAGCATATTAGCACCTGTTGACATCAGCATGCCTTCTTTTGGAGTAGACATTGCAAAGAATCTATTGCAAATTCAGAATGGACCTGAATGGGTAAAGATGTATTCCTTTATAGATATTGCAATTAATTCAGCATAAAATAGGGCAGAATCATTAAGGAAATGGTACAGTCTAACCTAAAAATATTGTTTTAAATAAAAGATTCTTTCTGTGAAATTATCACCATTTCTTTGTAAAGTTTCATGGAACAGTGAAATAATTTCACTGTCAACCTATTACAATCTAACAGTTTCTGTATTGTACACTCAAGCTATGTTACATTTGCGGTGATTTTTTAAAAAATAATGAATAGAGTTGAGTTGAATTGAATTGAACTGAATTGGAAGGGACCTTGGAGATCTTCTAGTCCAGCCCCCTGATCAAGCAGGACAACCTATACCGTTTAAGACAGGTGAATGTCTAGTCTCTTCTTAAAAATCTCCAGTGATTGAGCACCCACGATTCTGGGGGTAAGTTGTTCCACTGGTTGATTGTCCTCACTGTCAGGAAGTTTCTCCTTAGTTCCAGGTTGCTTCTCTCTTTGATCAGTTTCCAACCATTCTATCTCGTCCTTCCCTCTGGTGCTTTGGTGAACAACCTGGCCCCTCTGCCTTGTGGCAGCCCCTCAAGTACTGGAACACTGCTATCATGTCTCCCCTATTTCTTCTTTTCTCTAGACTAGCCAAACCCAAGTCCTGTAGCTGTTCTTCATATGTTTTAGTCTCCAGGTCTTTGATCATCTTAGTTGCTCTTCTCTGAACTTTTTCCAAACTCTCAACATCTTTTTTGTGATATGGTGACCAAAATTGGCTGCAGTATTTCAGGTATGGTCTTACTAGGGTTTTATAAAGCGGTACTAATACTTCATGTGATCTTGATTCTATGCCTCTGTTTATACAATCCAGGATTGTATTAGCTTTTGGGGCTGCTGTTGCACACTGCTGGCTCATAGTGATCGTCCACTAGGATTCCAAGGTTCCTCTCACAGTTACTGTTTTTAAGCCAGGTCTCGCTCAGTCTATATTTGTACCTTTGGTTTTTCCTGCCTAAATGTAAGACTTTGCTTTTCTCCACATTGAAACTCATTCTGTTGGATAGGGCCCATTGTTCAAGTTTGTCAATATCTTTTTGGACCCTGAGTTTGTCTTCTGAGGTGTTGGCTGCTCCTGTCAGTTTGGTGTCATCTGCAAATTTGATGAGTTTCCCTTCAATTCCCTCATCTAAGTCATTTATGAAGATATTGAAGAGTACTGGACCTAAGATGGAACCTTGTGGTACCCTACTGCTTACTTCTCTCCATGTGGATGTAGTGCCATTGAGGACTACTCATTGAGTATGGTTTTTCAGCCAGCTACAGATCCATCTGGTGGTGATATTGTCTATTCCATTTCCTAGCTTACCAAGGAGTAGGTTGTGGTCTGCTTTATCAAATGCCTTACTGAAATATAAGTATACTACGTCCACTGCGTTTCACTGGTCTACTAGTTTAGTCACTTTATCGAAGAATGAGATAAGATTGGTTTGGCATGATCTGTTTTTAACAAACCTGTCCTGGCCACTAGTTATGACTGAAATGAAATGATATTGTAGTATCAATTTATTTAATTGTGAATTTTTTTAAAAAAAAAGTTTTCTAAGAAACCATGGCTTCTGATACTCTCTTCAGAGCCATGGCATCCTCCATTGTGCAGCAACAATTACATTATAATTGATGGTGAATGATGATATAATTAGAGGTGTGCTGTCTTTGAGGAAAGACGGAATAAAGAAGAAAAAGCCCTTCCATCTTGTAATAGAAAGTGTTATATGAAAAATCAACACACTTTATTATTAATCTTTATTTTTATTTTTTAACTTATTTTTATAAATAAATTTTATTTTTAATTTTTATTTATTTTAAAATTACTTTTTTATTTTTATTTTAACTTAATATTTCATATTTAATAATAATAATAATAATAATTTAAAATTATATTTTAACGAAATAATTGTATTTAAATTTATAATTCAAAATAATGTTTAAAATTATAATATAAAATAATATTTAAAAATAACATTTAATAATAATTTTGATTTAATAAAAATATTTAAATTATTTTAAAATTACTTTGTTTTTAATTATTAATTAAATTAATTATTAATTTATTAATTAAAAATCAAGACACTTTATTATTAATCCTGCACCTGTAGTCATCAAAAAACAGTAAAATGAGGTGAACATACAAAGAGGAAACCTTTACGAACAGAAATGACAAGCAAATACAAATTATAGAAGAATTGGGGACTGGCAGAGAATTGTTCATAAATATACTGTGCAACTCTTGTATTTGAAACTCTTGTATTATTGTATTTAATTCTACTAACCACAGAAGAGTGCATCAAAGGAGCTAAAAAATCTATTTGAGTTGCTTCTCAGAAGTGAAAATAAAATCTGTTTATTTTCTGAGATCTGGAATTATTTTACTAAAGATACAGAAAGGTTGATCTCACTGTAAATTCTTCTGATTTGCATTTCTTAGGACAAAACTAATTGTGAAGGACAAACACATATGTTCCAAGCAGATTCTTGCATGTAAAGCGTAAAGTGTGTTCCTTTTGCCTCTCCATAACTAAGCCGAAGATGGACACATTGGATTCTCTTGTTGTACTTGCAGCCGGATAGCCCTTAAGTTAGCTTCCCTTTTCTCTACCCCACTGACTATTTTATTTCCTATCTGTCCTTCACCATCTTCTCCTCCCTTGTTTTGCTTTCTCTCTTGCCTTTCCCACCCCTTTTCCCCTCCTCTCTCTCTTTCTTCCACTTTCCCCCCACCCTTCCCATCCCTTCTCCTCCAACCTTTTCCCCAAAGAAATCAGGAGACATCTTTTTTCTTTAAGAGAAGTGACTACAGTATTGATGGTCCCTCTATTAAACAACAAAATTTTGTCCATTTTTGGAATACCAAATACCCCCCTTTCTTGACTTGTTTGTTCCAAAAAGTGGTGATGTGTAGAAGCCTCCACGGCCCTCTGTACTATTTTTCTTCTCCCTCCTTAGTGTCTTCTGTTCTTTTTCCTGCAATTATATCTGGAATTGGATAATTATCTTTGAAAATATCTGTCCAGGCTGTTAAAGCACTACCTACTAGAAATCAAATAAACTGCTGTGTCTTTTTCCTGCTGCTGTAAGAGGGAGCATCTGTAAGTTGGGGAAAAGTAAACTATAGCAGCTTTGAGTGTATTCATTCAATTTGATGTGAAGTTTACATGTATTAAAAAGTTAAAGCATCATAAATGCATGAAAACATAAAAATCATCTCATAATACTTTGGAATCTTGTCATTGCCCATTTATGGAGGATAGCACAAATATGTGCACCCCTTAAACTGATGGAAAGTCTGCACCTTTGTTTTATCTATACCAGTGGTTCTCAACCTGTGGGTCGGGACCCCATTTGGGGTCGATCGACCATTTCACAGGGGTCGCCAAGCAAGGCTGTCCGCCATTTTTTTGTCCGCCATTTTTTTTGTCCGCCATTTTTTTCCCCTTTTCCGGCGGGTGCCTTACCTCCCTTGGGCTGGGCCAGCTGGTGGTCGGCCTGCTCCATCTCTGCCGCTTGCCAGCTATGCCTCGGCCGGTGCAGGGGGCGGAACCACACCCGCATGGCGCTCCCGGGCAGGGAAAGTCCTCGACTTACGACCGGTTTAGTCCTCGACTTACGACCGGTTTAGTCCTTGACTTACGACCGGTTTAGTCCTCGACATACGACCGGTTGGGGTCGCGGCATTAAAAAGGTTGAGAACCACTGATCTATACCAAGCTGAACTTAGAAAAAAAATACAGCTTATTCCCTTCATATACTTGAGTGAATCATAAACTTGACTCTATATAAAATGAGAGTCCCTCAGTTCAAACTGGCATTTTATTAATTGCATCTATTCAGTTGCCTTGACAATATTACAGAATCATTTGCCATTAACTTCTTCTGGGTGTTTTTCAACAGCCCCATCAAGCCTACAGCTCTGGGTGGTTCCTTGTCCAAATAATAGTCAGGGCTGTTCCTTCTTAGCTTCTGAGGTTGTCTATATGCTGCCACTTGATGAGACCTTTGTAGAAGCAGTGCACCTGCATTATAGATGCATATGATATGGGCAAACTCATGCTTAGAAAGTTAGAACTGAAGGAGCTTCTTGGATGAGAAGCAAAATGTTTTCAGAGGAAAAAAGAAAGAAAGTCAAAATGTCTTTTGGGGAAAAAAAGCATCTTTGGGAAATGCTTAGAGATATTTATGGCTGTCCTGCAAAATGACTATTACTACTAGTTCATGACTATACCCTCTGTATTATTATAATGATCCTCTCCACGAAGTTGTATGTTATTGTGTCCTAAATTACATATTATTATGCTTCAATTGTGCAAAAAAAAAATATTCCCACAGGGTTTTCCTGCACAAAGAGCAGAAAAGGGAGAAGAAGGAATAACTGGCTTTCCAGGACAAAGAGTAAGCATATAACAAAACCAAACATTAATTATGTTTTGCCTAATTATTTCCTTCTATACTAAGAAAATGAAACAGTTTTCAATGGTGTTTCTGGTACAGGTGGTCCTTTTTTAACTACCACAATTGTGACTGGCAACTCAGTTGTTAAGTGAAATAGTCACTGTGTCTGTGCTTATGGTTTTACATTGGACAGTGCCTACTAACTGATTGTAGTGCCAAACACAGGATGAGAGAGAGAGAGAGAGAGAGAGGGAGGAGGGAGGGAGGGAGGGAGGGAGGGAGGGAAAGAGAGAAAGAGTGATGCCATCTGGGCATTGGTCACAAAATTATTTTCTCAGCATCATCATAACTACAGAGAGTTGCAGTCTGAAGCAGGCACTAAGTAAGGACCATTTACCCTATTCATATTTTGGGTGGGTTTTCTTGCTGTTTTGTACATGTTCTGAGAGTCTGTTCTGAGAGTTCCAAGAATCATATTTATTGTCAGAAAGGAATATCCTCAAGTGAAATTGATAAGGAGCTTTGACTATTTCTACTTTTCTAGTACTGTGTCTCATTCAAACCACTTAATTTCCTGTGTAAAGGAAGCATTTGTAGCCCAGACCTTTGTTGGAGGCATACTGTAGTCTTCATCATGTGAAACTTAGTCAAGATGTACAGTATTTTAGTGAGTGTTTAAACCTCTGGTAGATGAAAGTGAGGGAGCTGGATGCTGGGAAGTTGAGCAGACAGTGGTCTGAAGAATCAAGATAGTCTTTCTTGGACTCTTTGTGACTAAATGGAAATATCTGTGAGGTTTTCTTGGAAACCATACAATGGCTTGCCATTGTGTCTTCTGGTTTTGTTTATTTATTTGTGAGTGTAAACTCTATAGTCAGTGCCAGATGTTTGGCAGTAAAAGGTGGAATGGCCAGTTCACACTAAAAACTAAGGCATCTGTCATTCCAGTCTCCTTTGTTCATTGCCATAGTCATCAAAAATATCAGACTGATGGTCACTTTTAACTTTTGGGGGCTCATAGATATTTGAAATATATCCCAGTATCCCTCATAATGTAGTTAGAATAAAATAAGCAGATATGATTGATATAACCATCCTATTTAATGTTCTTTTCTTTTAAAATCTAGTTGGGATAATTTAGCTTAATTCACAGTTGAGTGAAATTAGATCTTCAGTACTGTATACCCAGAAATTCCCATTTTCTGGGTATACACATGTGGGCATAAATATGCATAAGATATATGTACAAAAATTCTGTCAAAGCGCCCAATGAATTTCCAATATTTTACCTGATAGTGATGGGCCAGGTTTTGGTGAGTATAGTCTATTCACATGTAATGTAGCCCACACAGGTAGGCATTCAGATGATAGGCAAAAAGTATTGGAAAGTTACATTTCTTTCTTCATATTATATATGAAATTGGGCCTTTTAAATCTTATTCTTCATAAAGTTTAATTTCAATAAAACCTATTTTAAAGGAATTGATAATAAATATTTCATAACATTCTGTTTGTTAATGTTTATAGGGTTTGCCAGGAATCAATGGTCTAAAAGGAGCTGAAGGGGATCTGGTAAGTATGAAGTCCCAGAATCAGGTTGCTTTTTAGAAAGAAAGATAACCTAAGGCAGTGATGGTGAACCTTTTAGAGACCGAGTACCCAAACTGCAACCCAAAACCCACTTATTTATCGTAAAGTGCCAACACGGCAATTTAACCTGAATACTGAGGTTTTAGTTTAGAAAAAACAACTCATACATTAACATCTTTTGTCTTAAAAGAAAAAAACAATAACAAAGGTTTCAATGATACAAACAACTTTTTATTGAAAGATAAAAGTTTGCATTTGGCATGCTTTTGAAAAATTAATGTGATTTTTGCTGTTGTATACACACTGATAATTTGTCTAACCTTGGCTCATACTTTGTAAGTTTGAGAGCAACACATGCAGTACTCAGCTCATCTGTTAGTCTGTTTCTGGTGTCAGATTTTATATAATTCAAAGCTGAAAACAGCTGCTCACAAGCACAAGATGATCCAAACAAAGTAAGGAAAGCAATCCCAAGTGCTTTCATTGATTTAAAATTATTTGACAGAGAATTCCACACTTTAAGGATTTCATTTTCAGAACTAACTGTGCTGTCCTTTGTCATCCTTGTTTTCGCAAGATTGCTCTCAATAAGAGCAAGGTGCGCTTTGGCTCTGTTTTCGCCAGGAAGGAGCTTGGGAAATGGCTTTTTCCTGGCGAAAACAAGCCTCCGAGCTCTGATGCTGGTGGAGTGAGACAGCAGAGGCCAAAGCAGACCCTTCCCCATCTCCCCTCACTTCCCCAAAGCCTCCCTTCATTAACCTCCTTTCCAGCTCTGTTCTCCGCCACCGCTGTTCTTCTCTTCTTGTGGGACTATCGGTTAAAAAAAAAGTTCAACCAGACTTCCCAACTTTGCGAGATCTTTTTTTTTTTCACGAGAAGTTGGAAGTTCAGATTGATCTCTTTTTTTAGTCCCACAAACTTCTTTTGTTGCCATGCACACGGAGAACGAAGTTGGAAAGGAGGTTAGTGAAGGAATGTGGTTGCCCTGGGGTGGGGGTTAGGATTTGGCATTGTGGATGCCCTGGGTGTGGTGGGTGGTAGGGTTTGGCATTGTGGATTGTGGAGTGTTTGTGCTCTGGTGGGGCTATTCAAAACGCAGGGATTTCCTGCTTTTTGAAGCACCCTATGTGACTGCACAGAATGAGCGCTCTGTTTCTCAAGCGCCCCATTCCAGGCATACAGAGTTTGCAGTCTTTTAGCTCCTATAGAGCACTTCCAAACATAGTTCCTGCGTTTGGAAGCACTCCATAGGTGTGGAAACAAGGCTCTGTTTCTCAAGCGCCCCATTTTTTTATCCCAATGGAGATCTGGCAGAAGGCTCAGTTTCTCAAGCGCCCCATTCCAGGCATACTGCAAGTTCTGTATGCCTGGAATGGGGTGTTTGAGAAACAGAGCCTTCTGCCAGATCTTCATTGGGATAAAAAATGTTTTGGCACCTATGGAGCACTTCCAAATGCAGGGATTGGCTGTGTTTGGAAGCACTCTATAGGAGCTAAAAGACTTTATCTCAACGGAGATCTAGCAAAGACTGCAAGCTCTTTGGCTAAGTTTTCACAGGAAAAAGCCATTTCTCAAGCCCCTTCCTAGCAAAAACTAGCCTCCAGAATGAGCACACCTCGCTCTTCTTAAGAGCAATCCTGTGAAAACTTAGGCAAAGAGCGAGGCGTGCATACCCACAGAGAGGGCTCTGAGTGCCCCCTCTGGCACGTGTGCCATAGGTTCGCCACCACTGACCTAAGGACATTTTAAAAGGAAAATCACCTCTTTCTCCTTATAGTCACCCTGAACTGAGAAATGCCTTTTACAAAGAGAACTGATGGAAAAAAGGAAGATCAGCCCCAAATGAGTAGCAAATAAGATCAGTAAAAAGACTAGTATCAGAGGAGGCATATTCAAAAAAGACAACAAAAGCAGCTAACAAATAGAGGGAGGAGGGATCACATAGTAAATTGAGATTAGAGGTTTTAAAAAATAGTAAGTCTTACCCAACAAAAGAATGAAGAACAAAAGAATGTTGAGCTTACTTTTCAATTTCATCAGTTATTTTAAAGTAGGGATAGGGGTAGTATACTTCCCTGGACCAACTATGTCTTCATCTCACCAAGCCCACCTACCTGGCCCTACTCAGTTTTGGCTCTGAGCACTCTCATTGCTGTAATGCAGATTAAGGAGCTGATGAAGCAGGCATGTGGAATTCAGTGAAAAGAAATCTTGCCATTCTTTTCAATGTTTGTTTCAGGGTATGCCAGGAAATTATGGAATCCAGGGCATTCCTGGCCAGAAAGGAGTGAAGGTAATTATTCATTTGTTCAACACTGTAGTTAAACCATCAATTAACTACAAATCATTATAGGCAGGTTACAAAAATATATAAAAAACAATACAATTATTTGGTTTCCATATACAGAAACCTTACTGACTGAGATAAATTATTTATACAGACTGATCCATTTCAAGTTGAAGTTGTTTTTTTAATATCACCCCAAGCATCATTTGCACAAAATCTAAGCTTGCCATTTTATAATTTCCCCTTGGGTGGTTGCCCCACTCCATGTTTCCTTCCTTGTAATATGCCAGCCATTGTCCTCTTTCACACATACAAGAAAGGATTATCCACATCTCTGCTACTTTTCTTTGCTCTTACTGGCAATAGTGGCCTTCAGCCGGGCATGTGAATGATTGTCTGCTGAGAGTTACAAAGCAATTATTATTCAAGGTCAAATCAATTGAACAGCATAAGATATGGCAAAATGCCAAATGTCCTGGTTGTCCGTGCTTGAAACAAGTCTGAACAGACCCTGAATAAGTGTGTTGGGTATGAAGGCTCATTAAATATACACATGAGTATGCCAGAATATTTGGTGTAGGAGTTACCCAATGGTAAGATGGGTGGCCAATAAGTTTAATAAATAAATAAAGTATTATTTTCTTAATATTATGTGTGCCCCTGTGTTTTTTCTCACTGCCATTTTTAGCCTTTCTTCAAGCATTTTTGCTTAATTTGATTGTGCTTTCTATTTCCTCCTTTATGGCCTTGCTTGCAAAAATTACATATTTATTATTAAGGAAAGGACATGGAATGACTTAAATAATGGCCAATTGCAGCTGCTGTTTCTCTACTTATAAGCTAAGATTTGTAAGTCTAAAACCTGGATAATGTTGGAGTGGCCAAGCAAGAAGGAATTGGCAAAATTGCCATGCCAATGAACCATTCTGCCAAAAATGAGTTGGGAACGGTTGTCATTGTGATGATGGGTGAAGATAAGAAACTGGTAAAGTAATGTATCATGGTATTGTTGTAATATAAGTAGTGATCATTTATTAGGGGGTATTTTAGTTATGAAGAGTAAAAAATAAAGAAATATTACAGTAACTGATAAGAACAAAATGCAGTCTTAGGGAAATTACTGGGTCCATGGCAGTGAAGGTTCTTCATGCCTTACTTTCTCATTCATAATGAAATTATTTGATTTTCAAGTATGTACTAAATTGACTTAACTAAATTTGTATTTCTATAGGGTGAATCTGGGGATAAAGGAATTCGAGGGCCACCAGGTCATGCACAACATCCCACCCTTATAAAAGGTGCTGCTTTTACAGCTTTTGAATGTTGTTATATGTCTTCGCAGTTGTTTGAGAAAGTGTTAAAATGTATTAATGTCAGATAAACTGGAGTTATCCTTATGTGGCTGAGGTTTAAACTATAAATTTGTGGGTTTTCCAGGTGTACCTGGTGACCGGGGAATGGATGGCATTCCTGGGCCTGAGGGAGAGAGAGGAGCCAAAGGCAGTCCTGGCCCACCTGGTACTGAAGGATCATTTGATGGTAATTTTCTACCCCTTTAATATAGCGCATTGATTCTGGAGAAATATATTCACTTTTCTCCAGTCTATAATAAATGAGCTTTTCCTTGTAATGTCATTATAATCGCTTCTTTCAGATTCCTAAATCCTAATGTGGCTTGGCTGATTTCCTTGGATCTCTGCAGCTGTTTATACTATCCAGGCATATTTTCATAACAAATGCTTCTTTTTCACTGCTTTGAATAGATTGTATGTGGACTGTGCTGTTTTGAAGATAAAGATTAGTTAGAGTAATCAGAGGTCTTGGTGAGAACCCACTAAGCCTTCAGCTCTTGTAGCTCTTTTCAGCAGTGCGACTCTACCATCATCTTCACCATCCATAATGTTAAAGTCTAATGTTTGAAATCTGTGACAGAGGGTTCTTCAACATGCTGGGGATGGGGGAAAAAGGGAATCCAACTTGAGCAATTCTTAGTTTTATAACTATAATGAAAGAAGATTTATTTACAAGAAATATTTTAAAGAGATAGTTGAAGCCTAATGTTTAATTAGCAATAATCCTGTAAGAAAGTGAGTCAGCAACCGTGTACCTTCCGGCGCCACAATGTCCGTCATTCTGTCTATTGCTCTGGCCATCAGCTCTCTCTGGTTACTTGCACGTGTGCCTCTCACCCCATCTCAGTTTGCCTTTGCCGCTGTGTGGCACATCTGCCCCCCCCCCAGTCACTGGCTCTCTAACTCGCCTGGATCAGCTCGCCTCTGCCATTACCTGGCACATGTGGCACCCCCCTCTGGTCGCTGGCTCACCCCTGTGCTTGGCGTGGTCAGCCTCTCCCGCCTCCTGGATCACCTAGCCCCCCTCTTGCCTATGGCTTGTTTCCTTGACTGATATGATCAGACTCTGCCACCTCTTGGTTTGTCCAGTCTGAAAACAAAAGTAGAAGGAAATAGCCTCAGATTAGCAATCTCTTAGACAAAAAGCAGACAGTTGAAGAAGGGACAGTAAATATATCCTTTATCTCCTGCTACCCTTTGTGGTCAAAAATTCATGAGGTACTAAAAAGCCATTACCATTGAATTTGCACTTATAATACAACTCATAATAATATCTGTATAGAGGATATCTTTAATCTAAGTGGTTCACTTCAAATATTTAAAGATTTTTATGTGTATCTGATTTTTTAAACAACTTTTAGCAACACTAACAGAACAACAGAGTTGGAAGGGATCTTAGAGGTCTTCTAGTCCAACCCCCTGCTCAAGCAGGAGATCCTACACCATTTCATAAAAATGACTGTTCAATCTCTTTTAAAAGCCTCCAGTGATGGAGCACTCACAACTTCTGAAGGCAAGCTGAGAACAGTGATTACATTAAGTGGTGTGGAGACACTGTTTGAAGGACTGGTGTTTCTAAGCTGTAGATACTGTAAAAATCTGTACTGGTATCACTGGACAACAAAATTTTGCTTCCTGAAGACTTTTGGGTGTATCTTATAGATTTTGGCTGTTAAACCTTAATCTATCATGTACCGCTTTATAGAAAACTTCTGTTTTTGCAATTTCTTATGTATATTTTAAGTTAACTAATTTCCACTTGCATTATAAGATGCTTTGTGTAGCTCATGCATGTCCAGGCATGTACTCAGGGCATATTGCACAATATCTGTGAAACTGGTACAGTTTGCACCTGCCTAGGCATGCTTAGGCTGGATGGATGCTGCCTGGAAAGTCTATTAAAGCAACTCGCATGCACAGATGCTATTCATTTTGTTGGTATCAATTTCCATGAATTTTGATGTAATTGTTTCAAGGCATAACATGTAATTTACATAACAAGTAAACCAATTACAAACTTGATATAAGATGACAGCATAAATGTCTCATCAATGTCGGAACAGCCTTGATATATTCCACTATATTTGTGGTGAATATGAGCTTAAGCCTCAAAGACGCACCCTGACTACGCTTGTTAAGAAAGCATAGGAACTGTACTTTGGTTGTAAGATTAGTGACCAAGATAAAGCCTGGGTTCCTTACATTTGTTGTACAAAATGTGCTGTTGATCTTAGAACTTGGCTCAGGGGAACTCAGAAGTTAATGCTGTTTGCTATTTCAAGCATATGGTGAGAACAGAATGATCCTGTGACAACTACTTCTGTCTGACTAATGTTGCTGGTTTCTCTGCTAAAAATATGAAATCAATTAAATATCCCAATCTGCCTTCAGCCATGAGACCAGTGTCACATGACAGCAATATTTCAGTACCGAAGCCACCAGAGAAATGGAACTTAGATGAAAAAGACAAAGATGCTGCACTGTAGCAGCCAGGCATGGACAGTGACCCTGATCCAGATTTTGAATTGTGTATGTCTGGTGAGCCACATCTCATAACACAGTCAGAATTAAATGATCTGATCAGGGACTTAGGTTTGTCAAAATCAAAAGCAGAACTACTGAGTTCAAGACTGCAAGGATGGTGTTTGATATCAACAGGTAAGAAAATTTATGTATTTTAAAGCCACCAAGATGATTTAACAAATTTTTAGCACAGGTTGACAGCCTCATTTTCTGTACTGACATTGACAGTTTGTTCCCAACTTTGGATTGTGAGCATGACTACTAGAGTGGTGTCTGTTTATTGATTCATCAGTGTTAAGCCTCAAGGCTATCTTCTTACACAATGGCCATTTATATCCTTCACTATGCTGCGCACATGAAAGAAGCATAGAAAAATATGGAACTGTTATTGAAGCACATCCAGTACAACTGGAATATCAGTGGTGATCTAAAAGTAGTGGCTGTGCTGCTTGAAATGCAGCTCAGATATACCAAGTATCTTTGTTTCGTATACAAATGGGGCAGCTGTACAAGAGAGTCACATTACATTAAAAAGAAATGGTAATTCTGAAAGAATTTGGTTCCAAGAGGGAAAAATGTGGCACATGAACCACTTGTTGACCTGACAAATATATTTTTGTCTCTTTTATACATAAAAATCAGACTGATGAAAAATTTTCTGAAGGTTTTTGTTATTTGAGATAAATATTTCCAAGAATAACTGATGCTAAAATTAAGGAAAGCATTTTTGTTGGTACATTGATCAGATACAGCAGTTCACAGATCTGTTAGTGGAGCCAGAGAAAATCATCTGGAAAGCATTCAGGGATATCAGTGAAAATTTTCTGAACCAAATTACAATCAGCTGATTGACAAATTTCTTACAGCATATGAGACCGTGAAGTAAAGGGGAAAAAAGGACCATGAAAAAAAAGGTATATGTTGGTGATAGGAGACTCACTTCTTAAAGGAACAGAATGGGTAATTTGTAGAAGAGATTAACTATAAAGGATAGTATGTTGTCTCCAGGTTCAAAGATCAAATATGTGACAAGCTTACCAAAATAATCAAGCTCACTGATTATTATCCTTTTCTTCTTTCATTTGGGAAGAATGATACAACAAAAACCTGAAAACAATATCAAGGGACTATGAGCAGTTAGGCTGGAAAGCCAAAGTGATAGGAGCACAGGTGGTGTTCTTCTGCATTTCTGAAAGAAAGTCAACATCCAATGAGGGAACAGAGGATTCTAAAAGTAAATCACGGCTCAAGGGATGGTGCCATTGAGAGAACTTTGGATTCCTAGACCATGGTTTACATTACTTACAGGAAGGGCTGACAAAATAGCAAAAATGTTTAAAAACATGTCAGATAGATGTTGGAAATGTAAACACAAGTCAGGTACTTATTACCATGTTTGGTGGACATGTGCCAAAGCAAAGAGTTATTGGGGAAAAAATGCATACGTGGCTAGAAAAGATGTTGGGAAAATATGTAGATTTTAAATCTGAAATTTAAAAATAATCCATATTACGGTCTTTTCTGACCATTTGTTTCGTATATAAACTAAAATGTACATTATTGTCACCGTTCTTAATATAAACGTGTTATAACCTTTTTACTTCCTTATGGTAGTCTACTTCTTTATTAATTTTTTTATGATCTTACACGTCTCTACCTTTCTGACTGAAACTCCAACTTTCTTTTTCTTCTTTCAGAATATTATCAAACTTGGGACTTATTTTATCAATGGCTAGAGAAAAGAATAAAGGATTAGGAATTAAGTCTTTATTAGTGAATATAAAACTTAGACAACACGTTTGTTGAACAAGTACTATTGAATGCATCAAAAATCAATAAAAATCTTATTTAAAAAAAGGGAAGAGCTCACAAGAACTGGAAAGAATGTTTAGAAAACAATTGACTTGGCTTATCCGAAGACCTTTAAACTAAAATTGGAAGGAAAGGGAGATCATCTTTAGGGCCTAACCCCAAGTGTAAACTCCAAGTCAGTCAATCAGACAATGAAGAAGGGAGTGATGAGAAGAAAGGGGAACTCAGGCATAAAACAAGAGATAAGGGAAGCAAATGCAAGTTCAGTCAAAAAGGAATGAGCTGCTTATATACTAATGCTCAAAGTATGAGGAATAAACAAGGTGAACTTTTGAAGTCTTAGTACAAGAGGGCAGGTACAATATTGTTGCCATTATTGAAAGTTGAAGAGATGGAACACATGATTAGAATGTACTGCTAGAAGGATATAAATTGTTCAAAAGAAATAGATCTAACAAAAGAGGAGGTTGTCAATGCTGCAAATACTGTATATTCTTGCTTTGACAATGTGCAGAACTGTCGGGTATTTATATAGTTAAACCAGCAACCAGGAAAGAGGGAGGAGCATAAGGATAGCCCGGGAGAAAGAAACCGGAAGTAAATCACATCTTCCAAGTTGATTGGAAGATGTGAACCATGACCCTACAATAAGGGAGTGGAAAATGTTTGGAATGTTATGTGTAATGGAAGAGAAGCAGATCTAAGCATTCCACCATGCTGTGCTGACGTATTGTAATCTTAATAAATGCTTTTAGGAGAAAAAATTCCTGAAAGTCCTTTTAAGTGTTTCGTTACTCAGACACATGACATTATGCTTAGATCTCATCTCATTCTAAAACAATATGGGGTCCC